TCTTAATCTCAGGGTCGTGGGTTCGTGCCCCACGTTGGGCGCCAGATATTGGATTAAGGTCTCTTTATTTCCAAGCACAGCCGGGTGAAACACAGGCCAGAGCTAGGTTAAGAACCCAGCCAGCGCGGCCAGAACAAAGAGAGCGCCCCGTCCCCATGTGCAGTCCCTTAAGAAGCCCCCTTTACGTCATCCCGGCTTTCCTTCACCCCGCCCTTATGGGCGAGTCCCCAGGTCCACCTGGTACCTGCCCCAGGACTATTGGGCGGGGCTAGGGTGACTCCCTACAGGGGTACATTTCAGGGTTAGGGAGAAACCCAGTCCCAGATAAACTCCAAGGAATCCACAAGGATGACTCTGAACTGGCCATCTACTGCAATTGATGACTAACCTAATTGTCATCAGAGAGCCTTTATCCAGTAACTGATGAAAGCAGATGCAGAGATCCCCAGCCAAGCACTGGGCAGAACTCTGGCAGTCCTGCTGAAGAAAGGGAAGAGGGACTATACAAGCCTGGGGGGTTAGGTCATGACAACTGTAGTCTGTGTGTAAAATAAGTGAAAATTTTAATTAAATAAAAATTTGTATGTCCATACCAAGCTGGTTTTGTTAGTATATCTCTGTAGTAGAGCTTGAAGTCAGGAATGGCAATGCCTCTGCAAGTTCCTTTTTTGTACAGGATTGTTTTTACTAACATGGGTAGTTTGTTTCTCCATATGAAGTTGAGTATTGTTACTTTGAGGCCTGTGAAGAATGGTGTTGGGATTTTGGTGGTGATTGCATTTAATCTGCAGATTGCTTTTGGTAAGATTGCCATTTTTACTATGTTGATCCTACCTATCCAAGAGCATGGGAGAGCTTTCCATTTTCTGATACCTTTTTCAATTTCTAGCTTCAAAATCTTAAAGTTCCTGTTATACAGGTGTTTCATTTGTTTGGTTAGAGTTACCACCAAGACATTTTACATTATTTGTGACTGTTATCAAGGGTGATGTTTCTGTCTCTGATTTATTTCTCAGCATTATTCATAATAGCCAGATCCTAGAAAGAACCTAGATGCCCCTCACCTGAAGGATGGATAAAGAAATTGTGGTACATTTACACAATGGAGTATTACTCACTGGTACAAAGACAATGGTATCATGAAATATCATGATATTTTCAGGCAAATGGATGGAACTAGAAAAAAGACAACCCAGACCAAGATGACAAACATGATATATATTCACTCATAAGTGGACATTAGATGTAAAGCAAATGAAATTTGCCACAATACACAGCCCCAGAGAATGTAGGTAAAAAAGAGGATCTTAAGATGGACACAAAATTTGTATCCCTTTGATCTCCTATTGTTGTCTTATTGTTCTAGCTAGAATTTCAAGTACAATATTGAAGAGATATGGAGAGAGTGGACAGCCTTGTCTTATTCCTGATTTGACAGAGTTTCTTATGTTGAACCATCCCTGCATCCCTGGGATGAGGCCTACTTGATCATGTTGGATGGGCTTGCTGATGTGTTCTTGATTCAATTTGCCAGTGTTTTATTAAGTATTTTTGCATTAATGTTCATGAGGGAGATTGGTCCGTAGTTCTCTTTCTTAGTTGTGTCTTTGTGTGATTTGGGTACCAAGGCATTTGTAGCCTCGTAAAATAGTTTGGCAATGACCCTTCTGCTTCTATTGTGTGGAACAATTTGAGGAATTCTCAATAGTAGAATCTCAAATGACCAAAAGGCATTTAAGAAAGTGGGCAATATCCTTAGCCACCAAGGAAATGCAAATCAAAACAGCTCTGAGATACCATCTTACACCTGTCAGAATAGCTAATGTCAAAAACACCAAAACAGTTTATGCTGGAGAGGATGTGGAGAAGAGGGAATGCGCCTCCCTTGCTATTTGGGAATGCAGACTTGCACAGCCACTTTGGAAATCAGTAGGATAGCTTCTCAGGAAAATGGGAATCAGTCTACCTCAAGATCCAGCAATTCCACTCTTAGGCATATACACAAAGGATGCATAATTATACCACAAGAATATCTGTTCAACTATGTTTCATAGCAGCATTAATTGTAATAGTCAGAACCTGGAAGCAACCTAGATGTTCCTCATCTGAAGAATAAAGAAAATGTGGTACATCCAAGCAATAGAGTACTACTACCTGGAAGCAGACCAAACCATCCAGCATCTGCAACCATTGGAGTCTTGGATCTACACACACCAGGAGAGAGAGAGAGAGAGAGAGAGAGAGAGAGAGAGAGAGAGAGAGAGGAGGGTAGTGCCAGGTCTTCTCCTGCCCACCTCCCACCTTTGGAGTCCCTTGACCTATGGCCTAAAGTCCCCTTCTGCACATTGAATCCCCCAGAGAGACCTTGGGGGCAGACCAAACCATTCAGCAGCTACTGCCATAAGAGGCTTGGACCCGAACCCACCAGGAGAGGAGAGGAGAGAGCTGTAGGGAGACACTGTAGCCCCGCCTCCTAGTAGCCCGGACAGGTGTGCTGGGACACGCCCATGAGGGCATGGTCAGGGGAGGTCTAAAGGTGATGTGGGACGGTGGACGTGAATAACCCTTCTCTCTGGCCACGCTAGCTTTCGAGCTCTGGGCACGCTTTGGCTTGCGCTTGGCTGGTGTTTATCTGAATAAAGAAACCTTAGCCTTAGGGACTGTGGATCAATCTCTTCACTTGGTGCCCATCACCCGAACCCCCACGACCCGAACGGCTCTCGTGCCTACAGGGGCTCCACGATTGCATCCCAGGCCTCTGCTTTACAGCCCAGAAGCTGCAAGGACTGTGGAAAACATACGGCCGCTAAACACTTTAATCCACATAAAACGGTCGCCCTTCCCTCTATATAATCTCTCCTATTCTTAAGCGCCTTCAGTGCTGGAGAAACAAGCTGACTTGCTGAATATTGGCTTATATGTCTTATATAGCTGTGAATGTACTAATTCACATATTGTCGTTCCTCAGTAACAAAGGGAAGGCTGATTTCCCCACCCGCCTACAGAACATGCAAGCGTTGTGTAATGAGGTTTTAGAAGGGACAAGAATGACTTATGATATGTTTATGGAGATGGTAGAACAGAAACTGGATGATAGGCTTCATTCTATGTTTTATACGATACAGGCAGATCTGTCTACTACTCAAGCTGAAATGCAGCACATTTATAATAACATAAAAATAGAGAGATGCTCCATTTTAGAGGCTTTGCAGGTTAGGTAGGTGGAAGACCATGATGAATTAAAAATTATTTTAGCAGCTTTACAGGTTAAGCAGGCAGAAGACTGTGATGAATTACAGATATTGTAGGGGCCTTGCAGGTCAAGCAAGCAACAGACCATGATGAACTGGGACGTTACGAGCTAAGCAGGCTGCAGACCATGATGAATTAAAGGATGTTTCAGAGGCGTTGGGGCTAGACAGGCAGCCGACTGGGATGAATTAAAGGACATATGTAGCCAACTAGAAACTCAAATAGTCTCTCTCTCCTATTCCTTTGTTACTAAGGTACAAGATACCCAGAATAGGCTTCAACAATCGGATAATGCCGTTAAATCAATGGCTGGAGAATGCAAGAGAGGCTTTGGTAGAATTAGAGCTAGCTAGATGCTAGCTAGGGATGAACGTATTACCCTTCTAGAAAACCTTACAGGAGAATTGCTGAAGCAAATCGTGGATTCTATATCATGCCTTGAATCTTTCATGATGAATGAGATTAAAACCTCCCATGAGGATGTCCTGGCCAGGCTGAAGCATTGATTTGATGAAGAGGAAACAGACTCACTCCAATCTGAGGTGCCTACTTCGAACAGGTATTTCAGTCATTCTAAAGCAATTACGCATACACCTCTAGTCTACCCGGCCATGGTGGTGGAAAAGTAACCAACTAAAAGACACTCCCAGGGGCAGACAGCATATGCATGGCAACTATTCCAGTTGAAAGATCTTAAGCATATTAAAGAATCAGTTGTCTCGTACGGTCTTCATAGCCCATATGTAAAAGAGCTGTTGCATTCATGGGCCATCTTCAACAGGGTGACACCCGCAGATGGGTAGGACTGGTGTCAGCTGTCCTTAAGAATTCTTGCCAAATTGAATGGAAGGCATTACTTAGAGAGGAGGACAAACTCCTAGAACAGCAGGCCATTAAGGACAGGGTTGATGCACCCCTCCAGAAAATCCTAGGAGAAGGTATTTATGCTGACCCACAGGTGCAGGCTGAATATGATGACCATATGGTGTCCCTATGCAGGAAAGCAGCACTAAATGCATGGGATAAGGTTTGTGAGCCGGGAGAATGACTAGAAGCTTATACCAAAATAGAACAGGGACAAACAGAACCATTTAAGGACTTTTTAGACTGGTTGACCAGAGCAGTAGTCATACAAGTAACAGATTCAGTGATACAACATTCAATTGTGTAGCTTATGACAATGCAAACCCAATATGCAAAAGAATACTTTTGCCTTTAAAGATCATATCAGCTCCACTAGAAGAATGGGTTCTGCATACTGCCCACATTGACTGTAACATGCAAGATGCTGGAATCTGGGCAGGAGAAGCTGTCCCGAGAGGTTTCAACAGACAGCAGGAGATTAGGAGAGATAGTAACAGAAGGACTTGGGAAGGAGAAGCACCTTACAGGGACTCATACAGGTATCGAGAGGCCAGTGTTCATTGCTACCATGACCCAGAGCCTCGCATAGGAAGAGCACGCTCCAGGAGTCCACAGAAACATCAGGAGAATAGATGTTTCAGCTGTGGTAGAATGGGACATATAAGGAGAAATCATAGGCAAAAAATTTCTAACGATTCCAGATGCGAAAGGTCTTTGCCTTCTGGATTATGTAGGAGATGTGGTAAGGGCAGACACTGGACTAATGAATGCAGATGGACTAGGGACATGCAAAGGAACCTGTTAACGTCTGGAAACTCCGAAGTGGGCCTCCAGCAGGCCCCCACATAGAGAAAGGTCCGATCGTTCCCAGGGGCAGTGGGAGACAATCTCTCACAGGACAAATAGATAGTTCCTTGCCTACTGTGGAAAATGATACTGCTCTAGATGCTAGTTTGAATAGTGATGAAGAATCACATGTGACTGGTAAAAATGAGAAACGCATATTTTGGCAAGCTTCTATTAATGATAAAAGGCCTCAGTTAGAAATAAAAATTAATGGTAAAGTTATTAAAGGCTTAGTGGACACAGGGGCTGATGTAACTATTATTACCCAGAAGTCTTGGCCTCAGAAATGGCCTCCTAAAGAGGCAAATGTACAATTGTTAGGAATTGGTACTCTATCTAGAGTTCAACGGAGTGTTAACTCGGTGGTCTGCATTGGACCAGAAGGACAGAAAGGAAGACTGAAACCTTTCGTGGCAGATATAGCTATAAATCTCTGTTATCTCTTACAGCAATGGAATACTCAAATAAACATCCCTCCAATGTCAGATAAGAATTATAGAAAATCCCTGGATAGTAGGAAGGATCGAGTAAGACGCCATGGAAAATGGTTACCAACTATCCTGGCTGTACAGACACTAAATACCAAACAGACACTAAATACCAATGATAGGCCTTCAGAGGAACCAAAGGCCCTGCCATTACAATGGTTTATAGATGAACCTGTTTGGGTAGGACAATGGCCTTTGACCTCTGAAAAGCTAGAGGCTCTAGAAAAGTTAGTACAAGAACAGCTAGAGGCTGGTCACATAGAGCAATCTACCAGTCCAAGGAATTCTCCTGTATTTGTTATCAAGAAGAAGTCAGGTAACTGGAGAATGCTGACAGACCTGAGAGCCATAAATAAGATAATTCAACCTATGTGCTTTCTATAGCTTGGAATGCCACTGCGTTCCTTAGTACATAAAGGAAGGCTGATCACAGTAATTGACCTGAAAGACTGCTTTTTCACTATACCATTATAAGAAAGTGATAGAGAGAAATTTGCATTTACATTGCCAACACTTAATAACTCACAGCCAGTTCGGAGATACCAGTGGAAGGTTTTACCTCAGAGGATGCTAAATAGTCCTATTTTGCGGCAACACTTTGTACAAGAACCTTTGGAAATAATTCGTAAAAAATTTCCACAATCTCTTGTTTATCATTATATGGATGATATTCTTTTTTTACATTGAAAATCTGGGGTTTTGACTGTTTTTTTATAAAATACATCGGAATTTTATTGCTTGTAGAATACAGCATATGAAATCACAAAAACATCAAAATGAAAAGTCACTAGGCTTCAAACACAGAATACATTACCAGATGCAGTAAAATATTAATTAACCTGAAGTCTACATCAGAAAGAAAAAGGTATGGAAAAAATACCTAAATTGTTTACTTGAGAAACATACACTTAAAACAAAGTAAAAGAATGTTCCAGTACAAATTTAAAAAGCCAACAATGACTAACTTATTATATATATATATATATACATATATATATATATATATATATATATAAAGACAACAGACCATTAAAAATAAAAAATAAAAAACAAAATCCCAGAAAAACAGCACAGTTCTGTTACTCTTGTGGTACCTGGCACCATTTTTTTTCTTAAATTAGCTTCTCAATCATCATCTGGAAGGAAACCATTCTGAGCAGCATCATTAAAAACAGCTCTGATAAAGCATGGTCACTACTATGTATCATAAAGCAGGTCCACATACGAGTGAGTACATATCATGCTTGTCTTTTTGTGATTGGGTTACCTCACTCAGAATGGCTTCTTGGAATTCCATCCATTTTCCTGCAAATTTCAAGATTCCATTGTTTTTTTTCTGCTGAGTAAGTACTACATTGTGTAAATGTACCACATTTTCTGTATGGATGATATTCTTTTATCGGATTCTAATAATGAAACTTTGCAATGTATGTTTGACATGGTGAAGGAAGTTCTGCCTAGATGGGGGTTACAAATAGCCCCAGAAAAGATACAAAGAGGAGAGTCTATATTTAGGATATATTTAGTCTTATATTTAGGATATAAGATAGACTTACAAAGAATTAGACCACAGAAGGTAC